TTTACAGAGGAAATGGCACTCTTCACTGTTTTCACCAAATTTTCTGCTGCACCGTTTGAGCAGGGGTGATGTGGTGCTGTGCGTAGATGTCCACAGCCAATACTCCGCAGCGCAGAAGTGCGACTCATATCAGTCACCAACACTTGAGGAACACCCTGTCGNTGTCGACTGAAACACTTTCGTAGTACCCGCATCACAAACGATGTAGTTGGTGTGCTGGTTAGAAACACTTCAGGCCATTTTGAGTATGAATCGATAAGTACTAGAGCATGATAATGACCAAGAAATGGTCCGCAGAAGTCGGCGTGCACACATTGTCACGGAATGCAACCTCATGGCTATGGAACCCAATTCTTCGGTTTTGACTTCAGCTTTTGTAGGCATGCTTCGAAGTTCTTAGGAGTTCGACCAATGTCTCCATCTAGACCGGGCCACCAACACATCAATCTTGCCAACTACTTCATCTTCTCCACCCCTAAGTGTCCTTTGTGCAGGTCTTATAGCAGTGCCTTGCGTAGCGGAGGTGGTATGATCAGTCGATCGTTGCGCTATAGTATTCCGTCAGGTTGGACACTGATTTCTTCACGGTGTGCATAGAATGATGCGAACTTCCGCTTCAGGTCGGGACGCCATCCTTTTGATAGAGCCGTTATGATTTCTGCATAACATCTTTTGGTACACAGGTGCAACTCCTCCCGGGATACCGGAGCAGCAGTAGCAACGAAATGGCACCACTTAGTCACCGAGAATTTGGAACACCGCGAGAGAAAATCGGCCTGGGGAATTGTTTTGCCCGGACGGTGCATTATGTCGTAGTCGCAGGCAGCCAATGCAATGCTCCATCGCTGAATCATCGCCACCGTCGGTTTGGAGATCGACTTTTTCATCCACTGTGAAACCCAAGAATTCCAATTCTGATGAGCTGAACATGCATTTGGAAGCGCGAATTGACACGTTCTTTTGGGCGAACCACTCCAGTAGTTTGAGGAGTCTATCGTCATGCTCGACCTTCGTTGTACCAAACACAAAGACATCGTCCTGGCACGCTAACCCACCATCGAGTCCGCGGATAACTTCGTCAATTGCCGCCTGGAATATGCCGAAGGATGTGTGGAGAGCAAACGGTAGGAAGTTGTATTGATGCAGGCCCCCATGGTATGTTGATAGAGGTGAAATGCCGGCAGGTTGGTGCGGGCGGAATCTGGAGGTGTGCATCAGCCAAGTCAACCTTCGAGACCCATGTGCTACCGTGCAATGCTTTCATGAAATCCTCCGGTTCCATGGTGGTAGCCGCACACTTTCGCAACCGCGGGTTGCGTGTTAAGCGGTAATCGCCAAAAATTCGCGGTGTTTTGCCGTTACTCTTGATTTCGATTACGATTGGCGTTGCCCACGTACTGGAATTGACTCGTGTACTTATGCCATCGCGCTCCATTTTCTCAAGGGCCTGCAGTACACCATCATGTTGGCCGTAGGAATCACACGTCGTTTCAGGAAAATGGGTTCACCATCAACTTCCAGTTTGGCCGGCTGTACGATTATACCTCCCGTATTACTGAAACATTTCACTACCAGGCGCTGTAGATGGGTGTGCATATTGGACATAGAGTTTGTATGGAGCGACACACAATGGTTCAATTCACGAATGGTGGTTAGGCAAAGTATGGACGGACTGTGTTTAGCAATTAGGAAGCGGATGGGAACAAGGCGATGTTCTTTTGAATGTACCGTCTATGAAACCTCACCAATCAATGGCAATTTGTTTCCAGTCGCCCCAAAGATTCGCACGGATGTCGGATGAATTTTGGCTTAGGGGCAGATTGATCGAAGCATAGCAATACAAATAATAGATTCCATGCTTCCCGTATCAACAATAAATTTGTGCCGGACTGAAATGTCACATCTGTGTATAGGAATTGGGTGCGTTTTCTTCCGGATCGTAGAGAGAGCACCAGATTTGTGTCATTCGCAGCAGTCGGTTTTTAAGATTGTAAAGGGGCTGTTTGCGCACTCTCTGAATGTGGCTAGTTTTTCCGCATGCATGACACTTGACATTTCGGCAGCGGCAATTGGAGCGCAAATGGTAAGCTCCACATGACAAACAAGGATGGATACGTTTCTTGTTACCTGAAGAGTCTTGCTGCAGCTTCGGTACACACTTGGTCATTGGTGGTCGGTTTGGTCGTGTCTTCTGCCGTTGGAACAATGTGACTGATACACTGGAAGTGGCTTTCATTAGGTACTCGTGTTGCTCACAGATCTTGCGGCCATCGGCAAAAGTTAAATTTTTCTTCTCCAGCAACTTTCGTTGAAGAATCAGACTACTGATGCCTGCCACCAGGTGGTCACACATTTGTTCTTCCAGGCGATCACCATAATTGCAGCGTGATGCTTGTTTGTTCAGCTGCAGGATGAATTCACGGCAGGGAAAATCATCGGCCCGAATCATGTTGTTGAATTCGGCTCTTTCATGCGCTTGGAATTCAGTGGGCAGTAGATGGTTGAGCAGCAGCAATTTCAGGGACTCGTATGGTAGTTTGGCTGGAGCCTCAGGGAACGCCAGGTTTCTCAACAGGGAGTAGA